ATTATCTCGACGAAATCGCTGTGCTCGAACCTCGACTCAAGTCAGCTGACCAGAGAAGTTCCGACGGCAGTCATCACACTCTCTTGCATTCCTACGGTGCCGACTTTGCGACGAGCTTCCAATCGCTACCACCTAGCTCAAGTGTGGTCAGTAGACCGGTACCCCACACTGCTCCGACTCGAACAGGCTCCATAAATGTCGGCCCAGTAGACATGCCACCGCCATCAGATCGTCTCAAGGGTCTCATACTAGACTCTTTGCCTGCTCACGTCTTTGTCTCGCTGCCGCAGTCAGGCGAAATCGTCTGGGTCAATAGTCGCTACCTTACCTACCGCGGTCAGACAGTCTCTGATCTGGCTGCCGATCCTTGGGGCAGCATTCATCCAGACGACAGAGATGAATATCTGAAGGCATGGAGCCATTCCTTACGCACTGGTGAACAGTTCTCGAGGACTGTTCGCATCAAACGCTTTGATGGGGCCTACCGATGGTTCTATGCTCGTGCTGTTGCGTCCCGCGATAAACGTGGAGTCATGATGCAATTCCTCGGCTCCTACATGGATATTCATGACCAACATATTGCGGAACTTAAGGCTGCACGGCAAGAGGAGATTGAGGCCTCAGAGGCAAAGCACAGACTTCTGGCCAATCTCATCCCTCAAATCATATTCACTGCAACTGAAGACGAAGGTATCACTTTTGCCAACGAGCAATGGCTGTCGTACACGGGGCAGAGTTTCGAAGACTGCCTCGGCCTGGGTTTCATGGACTTTGTGCATCCTGATGATCTGGCCAAATGCCACATACCCACAGACAGACCACCAACGCCGATGCCATTCAAGTTCGATCGTACAGGGCACCAAGACCCAGCGTCATCTGAGGCGACGTTGGCCAGCCTTGTATCGGGCAAAACGCAAAGCCAGATGGAAACCAACCTTCGAGGCATCCACCAAGCCTTGTCACGGAATAACAGCTCGAGCAGTAGCTCGGTCTACGAGATGCCCACCGCTGATTTGACGGCTTTGGCCAGGCAGGGTATTATCAAAGTGACAACCGACAGCAACGGCAGACTATCATACACGACCGAGGTGCGGTTACGATCCAAGAATGGAGAGTACAGATGGCACCTAATCCGGTGCGTCGAGATCGACAACATTGACTTTGGAAATGGAGCCAGCTCCTACTTTGGCTCAGCTACGGACATCAACGACCACAAACTACTTGAAGCCAAACTCAAGGAGGCTATGGAGTCTAAGAGTAGATTCCTGAGCAACATGTCGCACGAGATCCGGACGCCACTCATTGGGATTTCAGGAATGGTCAGCTTCCTGCAAGACACCATTCTCAACGAAGAGCAGCGAGACTACACCAACACCATTCAGACGAGTGCTAACAGTCTGTTGATGATCATCAATGACATTCTGGATTTGTCGAAGGTCGATGCCGGAATGATGAAGCTCAAATACGAATGGTTCCATACCCGCTCTCTCATTGAGGATGTCAATGAGTTGGTCTCCACCATGGCTATTGCTAAAAGGCTGGAGCTGAATTACATCGTGGAGGAGGATGTTCCGGCTTGGGTCAAGGGCGATAAGGTCCGGATTCGCCAAGTGCTCCTTAACGTCATCGGCAATGCCATCAAGTTCACTGCCGAGGGAGAGGTCTTCAGTCGATGCAGGGTTCATACCAACAAAGATTCGACCCAGGACCAGCACGAGATCATGCTCGAGTTCGCCATCATTGACACAGGCCGCGGTTTCTCTAAGGAGGAGGCAGATCTCATCTTCAAGCCATTCAGTCAAATCGATGGAAGCAGCACCCGACAGCATGGCGGAAGTGGTCTTGGACTAGTAATTTCGAGACAGTTGGTGGAACTGCACGGAGGTAAGATGGAAGGTAGCGCTGTCCCTGGAAAAGGGTCAACGTTCACCTTCACTGCCAAGTTTGCTTTGCCGACAAAGGAGGATCATCCTGATGCACCCTTGAGTCCTGAGAGCTTGCAACCCACTTCCAATGTGACTCAAGATGTGGCTATTATCCGCCCTTCAAAGAACTTGCCCTCACCTACGCCCGCATCAACAGACAGCCCCAAGACTGACACTGAGTTCACGTCGCCTGCTGTTGCTTCTAGCGGAAGTTCAGCTCCATCAGTCCAGTCTGGCGTCTCTCGGGCTACGGAGCGTACGTCCGTTACGTCCGTGTCCTCGATCAACGTTGGACTGGTTCACTTCAGCGAAGCAGCAAGAGCAAGTGGCCAAGATCTGTCGCAGATGAAGCTCGAGCTACCTTCCAGCGAGTCTTCACCAGGCAAAACGCCTACACCCGAGACCTCCAAACCGACAAAGCCTGAAGACTTGAAGCCTCCTATGTACTCCATCCTCATCATCTGCCCTCAGACTCATAGTCGTGAAGCCACGGCACAACACATCGAGATGACTCTGCCCAAGGATGTGCCTCATCAAATCACGGCACTAGACTCTACCGAAAAGGCGCAGAAGTTGCTTGGGGGAGAGGAGTCTGTCAATTTCACTCACATCGTCCTCAACTTGCCGTCTCCAGAGGAGATTATCGGCCTCATGGAGCAGATTACAAAGTCGACAACCATCAACAACACGACAATCCTCATTCTATCAGACTCAGTTCAACGGCAAGCTGTAATGAGACTTGCGACAGATACGAAGTATGAGAAACTTGTGTCAGAAAACATCGTCACTTTCATCTACAAACCTGTCAAGCCATCGAGGTTTGCCGTCATCTTTGATCCTGACAAGGTCCGCGATCTGAGCGTTGATCGGAACCGCTCAACTGCGCAACGTATGGTTGAAACTCAGAAGGCGAGTTACCTGGAGATTGGAAAACGTATGGGCAACAAAGGGTATAAGGTGCTACTGGTTGAAGACAACCCTGTGAACCAGAAGGTTCTACAGAAGTACTTGAAGAAGGTTGGCGTGGAGGTTGAAGTGGCCGCCGATGGCGCCGAGTGCACCGAAATGGTGTTTGGTCACGCCCACAACTACTACTCCTTGATACTCGTAAGTGCTCATCATCTCGCAAGACGTGTCGCTCTGCTGACTAACTTTCTAGTGCGACTTGCATATGCCACGCAAGGATGGCTACCAGGCCTGCCGAGAAATTCGACAATGGGAGAAAGAGCAAGGGTTCAAGAAGCTTCCCATCATTGCGCTTTCGGCCAATGTCATGTCCGATGTTCAGGACAAATGCGTTGCGGCCGGGTTCAGCGACTACGTCACCAAGCCCGTCGACTTCATTGATCTCAGCAGAGCCATGTCCAGGTTCTTCTGAAGCCTAGAGAAAGACGCAAAACTAGGATAAACAACAATAAGAGGCGGGACTCCTAAGTCTCGTCCCTCATACACTTCTGCCTGCTGCAATAGCATAGGCGCCCGCACTACACGGTTACATTCAAACACACAAAAATGGGGTTCATACTAGCAAGGCATGTCATTGGGGAAAACAGGAGTTTCGGGGATTCACGAAAGATTCAGGTTCATCATGATTAATATGGTCCTTTCTGCTCATTGTGTACAACTGCTTCGAGGCGGATACCATCATAGAGACGTACCTCTAGAGGAGGGTCTATTGCAAAAGGGAGTTACTTCAGGATTATACATTAGCTTATATTCTTCTTATGGACTCACGACAGGGATGACACATGTCGTAGCTTTGGCGATGTATGTGCATGGCGTCCAAAGTGTGGGCCAACACCGGACTTGCAGTAGAGGCATGGACGGAAATCGTTCTGATCAGGTGCCTACATGTTGGGTATAGGATGGGTCAGGCCAGGCACGGAGGTCAGCCAGTACGTAAGGACGCAGCTCGATGAGTGGCCTGCGTTTGGGAGAGGAGATGGATACTTTCGCTGTGTGCTTGGTAGGGTTTGTGGGCAGAGATGGCGGTAATTGTGATTGAAAGACGATATCTCAATACATTCAATGACGCTAAAATTTACATAGCTACTTCAGCTTGCGTGTATGTGAGGTAATTATGTGGCTGTCGAATTTCAAAGCGCTGAGTGAGGCTCAAGTCAGACAGGCAAATCCGTGGTGTCGTCGAAGCTGGCTTATTGACTCAACCTTAGGTTGGGACCGCTTTGTTCCTGCTTTGTAGAGCAAATCCAAGCAACCTTCCTCCACTATTTTCCTCTCTTTCTTAATATATAGCATTCTACAGGCCTTACCCACTCTACCATTCGGACGAGGCAGTGTCCCAGACACTGGAGAGAGACAGAAGGTCTAGGTGATCCGGCCTTACTCTTGCCTAGTCCGACTCTGCCAATTGAACCCACTTCAAAGTGATTTATTTCGCTGATTTCCGGATCCAGGCTGAAGCTGGAGGCCACTTTCCACTCGAGAGCGACGCCAGGCAGGAGGGTGATGGTTGAAGATTCAGCCTTACCACCCCCACCGTCAAAGTTCTTTCGCTACTCTCAACCCACAACCTTTTATTTTCTTGCCTCGAAGACTGGAACGCGAGAGACCTATCGATTCTCTCTTCTTCTTTCCTCTTTCGATGACGGCCGTCCATTCATTTGTCTCGCACCTCCTCGCTGCATCTGCTACCTTCGGACCGTCCATCCCAACACTCGCTTCAAAGTGGCCGCGAATAGCTTCCTTTCCTTTCTTCAGTCGTTAATCCTGATCTTGTCTTTTAGTACTTTTGTGGAGCGCAAGACCTCCCTTCCTCTTCAACTTTCAGTCATTTATACCGCACGCAAACAACCTCCCGACCGGATCACTCGGCGCTAGGTGGCTTACATCTCTGATACCGGCCTTCCCCAATCCTTTCGAGCCTCCAAGCGAAATCAACTGATATACGCAATTCTGAAACAGTCACCGGAGCTCAATTGAAAGGTAGCTCCTTCCGTTGCTAGTTTACGCGTAGGGTCTAGTCGCCATTCATCTCGAGGCATCACGCAAGTCTCACCAAGTACAACACCACGGCATACTCCTTAACCGGCCACGAGTAAAGCAGTCAACAACATGACTTTGCCCTGGGTTCAACGTGGAAAGAGGCGTGCGAGCGAAGGTGAGCACAACGCGCCTAAAAGAAAGCGAGTCGAACAACGAAACCGTTCGAGCGTGGTCGTGCCCAGTGCAGCACCGCGGGTGATGATGGGAACAAGGCCAGAACAGCGACAACATCAATATATGCGAAGACACAGAAGAACCATGGCGGTTGGAAGTTCAGGTAATGGCTTAAAGGGTTGTGGCTGGTCTATAGCTACAAAAATTTGTTTCCGAAAGAGAAATTTCATCGCTGATAAATCGCAGCCCGAATCCCAGAATTTCGCCCACCGGGGCCAACTCGTCTCGGCTGCTTCCCCGAAGTCTCCCGTCACAGTAAGAAGAATATGCAAAATATTTTGGTTTCCTTGCTTAACAGAAGTGTTAGGCGTGGCGTCGCTTTGCCGAAACCCAGCAAATGTCCAAGTCGAAACCGATGCCGGCTACAACCTCGCCAAGATGTCCGACCTCAAGCCTGACATGAGCGTTCAGGAGAAGCTAATGTTAGGACTCCGAACTGGGCTACAACGCAGGGACGAGTACCGAGCCAAGGTTGAACAAGACCCAGCCCGTTTACGACATGAATCTCGAAACGATATCATGGCTTTTGGTGGCATCGATATGACCGACCTTGCCCTCGCCTTGCCGAAGTCATTAAGACAGAAGGAAGTTATCAACGCTGCTGAAGATGAGAAACGGCGTTTGGGGTTTCCATCCACGGAAGTTACTCTACCAGACAGAAGCCCGGCTTATGCCAACGAGTGGTGGGACATGTATAACGCTTACATCAGAGCCAGATCGATGTTTGTGTAAGCTATCTTCTTGTCGATAGAGAATATTTCGCTCATCAGTAAACAGCAAAGGGGCCTCTCTCAGGCTTACGGCAGTATCACGTCCATACAACAAGACCGTCCACAGCATTCCCGGAGTAATTGCTCGGCGGCGGGCCGATCAGATCATGAATATCGAGTGGCAACCCAGCTACCACGGCATGTCAATGAACAAGAGCTTCAGCGCCTTTCAAGCCAGGTCTATGGAATTGAACGGGTATCGGAGGCGTTCGATACAGTACGTACACTTCCAAAGGGAGAACAACGGGCAAAAGTCGTTTCCGGGGGGAGCCCTGGGTACTAATGCAGGAGACGACGACGATGACTCGAGTTTCACCACAGAGAGGTTCTTTGAACGTGATCGGAAACACAAACTATCATTGATAGACTTGGATATGTAAGTATTTCGTCCTTATTCGACACATGGCCTAGCTAAAACTTTATCCAAGCACCGATATCAACGGAGTGAAACGCAGATGGGTATGCATCGAGATAACCAAGCCTCTGGCCCAAGTCAATGGCCCAGCTCCGATCGAACTGACACCAATGCCACAATCTTTCATCAAGATTGCTATACCTTGTGACAGCATCCTAGTAGTGGTGAACACCAGCAAGCCACTGCCCATCATGGAAGAGCAACTGGACAAGATGGAACCTCCACAGCTTGGTGATTTTGACAAGCTTACCATTGGGAGGGTCGATTCAGGCTTAGAGGATGTGAAGATGAGGCTAAAGATTTCCGGAGACGGCGTGCCAATCTTCGTGACCGGGTCCAAAAAGGGTCATATGCCGGATGACAGCACACTTGACGACTTTCTCTGCGCATCGGATGTGACTGGTCTTCCCTGGAAAGAAACAGACAGACGTGTCAGCAAGAGTACGTTGTTGCTGAGGAAGGCCGAGTTCTGGGACCGCTTTAATTTGGCAGCAGACGCCGACAAAGTGCGATGGGAATCACTCCAGGACGCCATGGCGAGCGATGAGTGCATCGTAGACATTACCTTTGAGGGTGATTGGCAAGAATTTGCCCCGGTTGCTCGGGCGTCTCAGTCAAGGTGGACGCCTGTGCAGCATGAGTCGTCGCAATCTCAACATAATATCAGGCCGCAAGGTCTGATTAGAGGGCAAAATAACAGACATCAAGGCAACACGGCTCCTTCTAAAAGTTCTGGGCTTCGCAACGAAGTCCATTGGTAGGACCAACACGCTAGATAGCAGTTGGGGGTCGAGTGGGAAATGGCCGAATTGCAAGCAGAGAATGCGCAAGAGACAGAAGTTGCGTCAAATAATGAGGAATTCAATGGTTTAGGGCATGGACGTCTAGGACATGGCATAGAATCTCTCTACAGCGGACTGGCAGAGGCTCAGAAGGACTTTGGGGGGCAGTAAGAGCGAGTGTTCCGTAGCTGAATTTGATTGATTGGTGCGTACCAGTTTATCGTTCTAGTGAGCCATCTGAGTGATTCATCGCTATGCAGGAGAGAGAAGAGACCGAAAAGAATGACTTCACTGGGAAGCGAACAAAAGGTAAGGTTGAGTGAGGCTCGAGGACTTTCAAATTAATACAAAGACCCCCCCACCCCTCGGCCACGTTTCCCTGACCTTTTATGACGAGATGGAAAAAAATTCAAGTCTAAGTACCGCAAACTTGATTTCCGGGAAGTATTCAACTCCTAGAACTCCGGCTGAAAGAGGAATACCCGCTCGGGAGGGGGGATGCTCTCGACAGAAACCCTTTTTACTATTCCATAGGGGGTTATGTCACTAAGGGGCAAGTCTGCTGGCTGAGTAACCCTTCGTCTTGCGAGCGGGCCCTGAGTATGTAAAATGACCCTATGGTACTTTTCCTCTTCGTTCCTCCTGAGAATTTGCTAAATCCCCTGGCCCCAAACTTCTGCTGGAATTACTCCTGGGTAGAGTATGGGACGTTGTCAAAGGTGGGTCCTTCGGTGTGCCAAGCCAGAAGCCAGGTGAAGCTCGGTGAAGCCGGGGAAAAGGTTCCGCCGAGCTCCAGCTTCATCCCGCCAAAAAACAAACCCGCCCAGCGAACTTTTTAGAAGCCCGGTGCCTTGAGCAGCAGCAGCACCACCACCCCCGCCATCTCCACGGTTTCCTCTGCAACGGTGAAGCTCTTCGCCAAACACACATCCTCTCGACGACACCAATTTTTTATTGAGGTTCTTAAAATCGTTGTCGCACAACCATGCAGGCTCCAGTAGTGGTAATGAGTATGGCAGCCCCTCCTTCCCCAGAGCTCTGACTAGCTACCCCCCCAAATATCAGGATCAGGTACTAACTGCGTACTCTACAGACACCGGTGCCGGTGAACGGCAGACGGGTCGCAAGGCCCAGATGTCCAACATCGCGGCTGCCAAGACGTACGATGTTCTTTCGAAAACTCCATAGACACTCGCTAACCCCACCATCAGCGTCGCCGACATTATTCGATCATGCTTGGGTCCCAAGGCTATGTTGAAGATGCTCCTCGACCCCATGGGCGGTATCGTCCTTACCAACGATGGCCATGCCATCCTCAGAGAGATTGAGGTCTCGCACCCTGCAGCAAAGAGCATGATCGAGCTCAGCCGGACACAAGACGAAGAGGTTGGCGATGGTACAACAACGGTCATTATTCTGGGTAAGCCCCTGAAAGCTATCCTGCTTATAAAGCTAGAGACTGACCTGGCCCAGCTGGCGAGATGCTTGCGCAGTCTCTCCCCCAGCTCGAGCGTAACATTCACCCCGTCCAGATCATCGCCGCCTTCCGCCGCGCGCTGAAGGACGCCCTCGAGATCGTCGACGATATCTCCCTCCCCATCGATGTCAACGACGACAAGGCCATGCGCGGCCTCATTTCCTCTTCTATCGGCACCAAGTTCGTCTCGAGATGGTCTGACCTGATGTGCGACCTGGCTCTCCGCGCCGTCCGCACCGTCACCTGGGAGGCCGGCAACGGAAAAACCGAGGTCGACATCAAGAGATACGCACGTGTGGAGAAGGTGCCAGGCGGTGAGATCGAGGACAGCAGAGTGCTAGACGGAGTCATGCTCAACAAGGACATCACCCACCCCAAGATGCGCCGGAGAATAGAGAATCCCAGAATCGTCCTCCTCGACTGCCCCTTGGAGTACAAGAAGGGCGAGTCGCAGACCAATATCGAGATTTCCAAGGAGGAGGACTGGAACCGTATCCTGCAGATTGAGGAGGAGCAGGTTAAGGCTATGTGCGAGGGTATTATTGCTCTTAAGCCCGATCTGGTCATTACCGAGAAGGGTGTCTCAGGTGCGTCTTATTGTCGGCTAGGTTTGGGGAATGAGGGCTAACATCCTGCAGATCTCGCTCAGCACTACTTCATGAAGGCTAACATCACCGCCCTCCGCCGCGTTCGCAAGACGGACAACAACAGAATAGCAAGAGCGACGGGCGCCACCATTGTCAACCGCGTCGATGACATCCAGGACTCCGATGTCGGCACGCTCTGCGGCCTGTTTGAGATTGAGAAGATTGGCGACGAGTACTTCACCTTCCTCACCGGATGCAAGAACCCCAAGGCCTGCACAGTGCTCCTCCGCGGCCCGTCGAAGGACGTGCTCAACGAGATTGAGCGTAACCTGCAGGATGCCATGGGTGTTGCTCGCAACGTCATGTTCAACCCCAGACTCTCCCCCGGTGGTGGTGCTACTGAGATGGCCGTCTCGGTGCGGTTGAGCCAGCTCGCAAAGGGCGTCGAGGGTGTCCAGCAATGGCCGTACAAGGCCGTCGCTGACGCCCTTGAGGTTATCCCCCGTACCTTGGTCCAGAACGCCGGTGCCAGCCCCGTCAGAGTACTGACTGACCTGCGCGCCAAGCACGCAGAGGGCAAGCACTCGTGGGGTATCAACGGTGACTCTGGCGTTGTCGCCGACATGAAGGAGTACGGTGTGTGGGAGCCGGAGGCTATCAAGTTGCAGAGCATCAAGACGGCGATTGAGGTATGTCTACATTGGTTTACGATTTTTGCCCCTCTTTTCTCTTTATCTTTTACACATTATTCAACAATACTAATACATGGCTCACAGTCCGCTTGCTTGCTCCTCAGAGTAGACGACATTTGCAGCGCAAGAAAGGCAGCGCAAATGGGCAACGGCCTGCACGGAGGTGGCGACGAATAAGATGCCTGTTGACGTTAGTCGGATCCGGTATTTTTCATGACGAAGACGGGAGAGCGGTTGCAATGAGCAGTGATGAAGATGAAAAAAAAAGGTCATACCCCTGTATGGATGCATAGATATGGGATTAGAAATTACCTAGACGACTGAAGTTCTCGGGACATCTCCAAAGGACAAAAAAAGCTTTGATGCTCATGCTTTTCTGAAAATGCCCCCCTGCCTTGTGTCTCCTGTCTTGTCAAATCAATGTTTAAGTTGGGCGCGGGACCCACCGAACATTTGGTGTTTGGTCTGAAGTTATTTTTGGTCACGCCAAGCTTATGTTCAAGCTTGAAAACAAGAGCTCAAAGCTCGACAGCAACCGAACCCCAAGACCCAGGCTCAGGTCCAAGGGGCCCTCCAAAACCACGGGACGATGAATCAGTCCTCGTCGTGGATCACGATACCCGGGGGCTGAGCAGCTCCTGACGAGGTCGTTGCCGTCTCTGAGCCCTTGCTCTTGCCGTCCTTATCATCCTTGGCATCTTCATCCTCCTTGTTTGTAGATGTTTCCGCCGCAGCCCTTGCGGCGACACCACCACTTGACGAAGAAACGGTTGCAGCTCCTCCCTTTGCCACGCCAGCAGCAGCACCACCACGACCAGGTCCCTTTTTACCCTTTTGCTTCTTCTTATCCCTCTTTTCCCGATTCTTCCTCGTGCGCTCCTCGTCCTTGGCAGCCCGCTCGGCCTTTTGCCGCTCAAACTCGTCGTTTTCCTTCTCCTGTCTGACCTCGTCGTCCATGGCGCGCAGGCGGTCGTACTCGCGGCGCCGGCTGGCCTTGTAGACGTGGAACTCGCCGGAGCCGGCGCCGGCGGAGGAACCTTGGACGTTTGTGACGATCTCGGGCGGGGCAGCGACGGCGCGTTTGGCGACGGCGCCGGGACCGGAAGGGAGACGGATCTCTTGGTCTGGTTTGGAGAAGAGGGTCTCGAGGTGTTTTGCGTGTTCGGAGACGGGGGTGAGGGCGCGTTTCTTTGTTGGGCGGCGGGAGCGGGGATCCGCTGAGGTGGGGATTGATTCGGGGCCTTCGCCGGACATTTTTGCTGCTGCTGTTGCGGCCGGTGGTGTTCGGGGTGTGGAAGGGAGGTCGGTCGGTCGGTTGAGGACCGGATCCTGCGGGTTCGGCGGTGGGCGGTTGCGTTGAGCAGCTTTTGAGATTGGCGGAGGAGAGTCGTATGATTGTGGGATGAGGCTGGATGTGGAATGGGCTGATCCGGGGGGGAGGAACGTTGGTAGGCCCGGCTACGGTGATTGCGCTTTGCTAGCAGCTATACGATGGGCTATGCAAAACGGGCGGGCGGGAAGGCGCATGTGATAGTGGCCGTCTGCGTACGTAGCTGGGTGGTTTGCGTTGCAGTCTTCCCCGGTCTAGGCAGAGTGTGACTGACTGTTGGATTGGGTGAAGTGGGCGATTGAATGTTGGTGACTTGATGTTTGATTGTGAGCTACCACAAGAGATCGCGAGATGGAGGCGCGCGCGCGCGGCGTAAGGTAAGGTAATCTAAGCGGGAAAAGATTGGCGCGCGGTGGTGTGGTGAGAGGTCGGTCGGTTGTGGGCGGCTAGGAGATGGGCCGGGGTGGCGGCGGCTGTCTGCTGTTTCTGACCTGCCTGTTGGTAAGAACCGGTAAGAGTCAAGCACGTTTGCGGCGAGGTGTGCGATTGCCTGTTTGCCATTTGGAAAGGCTGAGGAAATGAAGCAAGGTGATTGGGGGCGACGGGAGTTGCAAGGTGTGGGCAAGGTTGTGTGGATGAGGTGGGGAACAAAGATTGAATATCGAATGACAGTGCTGGGAATGGGCGGTTCTGGCCAACGCGCCTAATCGGAGCATGCAGATGAACCACGCTTGAGCCAGACGAGGTGCGGAATTTGAGTGACACAAGCACTCGGTACGGATACACATACTTTTTTGAGTTTACCTTACTATGTATGTATGGGGTTGCAGTGATGTTGGTTGTCAGGCGTCAAGATGGACGTGATGAGTGAATCACAATCACAGGAAGGGAATATTGGTTGGGAAGACTGCAGAAAGAGGAGTTGCACCACAACGTCCAACAGAATGTATGCGGTTTGCTCTTCGTCCGTTGGATGAAGATGCATTTTGGGGTTGTAGTATGGCTTCACCTGGAATGCGGGCACTTTGGTTCTGCAGGTAAGACAAAAGTAAGTAGTGCCGGCAGACCCCGTTTCCCCTCCATTT